TCTGTCAAAGTCTTGTGTTGCATCAGCAAGATTTTAACTCTTTGATGTTAAAGTTACAGAATTTTAGTATATAGGGTTAAACAAAGAAAAATAGGGAGAATATCAAATTAAGAGACATGGTCAAGTGATGGAGAGAGAGTGCATTATTCTGACTACTTTGTTCTTCATGTATGTCCCTTATGAGGGATTGCTACTCTGCTCTTCTGGATGGGATTGTCCCTTTCTTGGAAGAGGAATGTTCAAGGTGAGCAATTCATGAAGATTAACAATCACTATCATAATTCGGCTTGTCCCTCCCTCCCTTCATTAGTTACATCCACAACTGTTAAGCTCTGCTAATACCTCATAAATAATGGACTATTCTATTTTGACATATGAAAACACAGATCTGACATATCAGAGATCCTATTTGGTTTCAGTGAGAATATGAAAAAAAGAAGGGAAGATAGACGTGTTTCATTTTCAGATCTTTTCATTTGTACACCCTTACTTATGAATAAATTTATTAATGAAAATCTTTGTAAGACAGGTTTTTGGCTAATAAGGATAATTCCTGATATTAAAAATTGTAACAAAAACTGTCTTCCTAATCAGGGCAACAAGTGTAATATATCCTTTCAGTTTGTAGCGGACCGTGGGGTGATTAGTATGTATTGTAGAAAAACACACGTGAGTTAAAATTTCCTGCTAGCTGGTCCAACTACATGAGAAAGTTGGACTTTAATTAAAGTCCAAAGAAAACAAAGAAGATCAATAAATATATGTAAACAAATATATGCATTAATAACAAGTTAAAGGTTACAAGTTACATGGACAGTTATATGGACAGAGTGTGTGTGGTGAATATTATGTGTGTGTGTTGTGGTGGGTGTTCATACATACATGTATTGTTCTTACCATGTTCCCAGCATTTGGGAAACACTGTATCTGTGAGAGCTCATATCTGCGAGTTGGTATAAGGCCCAAGGCCTGAGGAAAAAAGAGCTCAAGGCGAAGGGTCAGCCAGTATTTATAGCCAGGGGAGAGAGACCCCTGGTGAAGGTTTAAGGAGTTGAAGAGGAGCTAACTCCGACAAGTTTTGTTAGTTGAGCTATTCTAACCTGAGAATTTTTCATGATGTTTTGGACATGTTAAGCAACACAAGAATCTGTCTCAAAAGATTCAAGTTGAGAAATCTGCTTTTTAATAGATCAATAATTATAGCCTGAACTAGAATCACTGACTTTTACTTCTGTTCACACTAAATACCTTGAGAAGTGCAAACTTTCACGCAGTTGTGTGAATGCTGGTTGCAACTCCAAAACACTGTTTTCTGCAGTTTTTTCCTTAAATTCTTTGAATTAATATTTTTTTTTCCTTTATTATCTTTCACTGTTTTGCTTTTCTTTGCAAAATTCATTTTTTGTCTCTTTTATTTTCTTCTTCCAAATCCTTTTCACTCCTGTTGGAGGAACCACTCCTTGGTTGACTATATATTCAGGGGTGTAGCCATACTTGGCCAATTGAGGGTTGGTGAGACTATTTAGCCCATAGTTGGGGTTGATGGCTATTGACACTGACGAGTACATCCACCATTTTAATAACTCTTGATTTTCTTATTCACATTTATTTTCTTCTATGTCATGCATTTGCATGCTGATGATGATATTTTCAAGATTACTACTGAGTCTGTACTACTCAGCCCAGGTAAGTAATTGTGAGTTCAATCCATGGGTTGGGTAGTGATGACAGATTCAATAGATTATATGAGTCAGCAATGACTGAAAAAGAGTACAAGTTATTCTTCAATATGAACAGTGATAGTCTGCCCTTGTAGCTTAAATAAAGAGATCAGTTTGCAATTCCTTGAAGGTTACTTGGTTGATAGACACCTGAGGATGACTGGAGGGAATGGAGACTGAAATGTTGCAATAACAACAAACATAGAGAAAATGGCCTAACTATAAATAGTGTAAACAATCATTAATTCTTGTTTACTTTCTTTCTCTTTTTTAAGAATATTTTTCTCTCTCTCATCGATGTTTATTGTCTCTCTCTCATCGATGTTTATTATTGGCTATGTCATTAAGTTTCAATCTTATCTGTTAATCTTTCCAGAAATATGCTTCGCCAATTACTATCTCGTCAGGTTTGTTGCATTCATTTATGTGCAAATACTTTAGGAGACATATTAATACATCTTCTCTCCCAGATATGGGTTAAATAGTAGGATTTGTATCTGAAAAAATTGTTCTTAAAAAAATTGTAAATGCAAAATTCACTCACAAAAAAAATTCTGAGAATATGTTTCAGCTTTAAATAACCTACAAAAGGTTGATAAACCATAAAAAACAAATCAGTCAATTTCCAATCACTATGATCTTAACCTCTTCAAGTTAAGGGTTAATCTTTATCCTTTCAGCCTAATATGTACTTCTTATCCCTTCCTTTTGCACTCTTAAAGCATCTTCATTCAGTAACCCTCTAACTTGAGTGGCTCTTGAGACTTGTATCTGATGAACAGCAGTAAAAAATGACAGAATCTATTTTATAAGAGATAAAGTTCATTATTCAAGGGTGAGGTACCTTACAGAGTAAAAGCAATTTTTATAATTTTATTATATGCTCTGTATTGAGTTTACAGAACATGAGTTTGGTTGCTATAAATTATGCATATTATTGTGGTAAGAAGTTTATTTAAATGGCCACTATCAGCCTCAATTTCAATTTTTATGTAAGAATTAATATCCTCAGATACCACTTTAATTTGTGGGTTATCTCCATAAAGCTTCACCTGTTTCGATATGAAGTCATTACAGGGCACTGTCAAATGCCTGTAAAAAAAAAAAGATGCTACCTGTCTTTCTCTTCTCTTTCTTTTCCTCCCTATATGCTTAAGTGAAAAAACCAACAGGGGACCTTCCCAGGAATGGGGATATCTGAACCTTTTCACACACACACACACACACACACACACACATGTATCACCAACATAGTTTACATTCATACTTGTGTATTTTCTCTCTTTTACTCAGTCACATAAAAACCAAAATCTAAAATATTGCCTTATTGAAATTCATTCCATATCCTTACAACCATCATACATATGTTCAAAATATTGTTGCCACTGTTTTTAGCCAAACTAGAATTAGTGCTGCAATAAACCTTTGGTAGCCCACTTTTGGAACTCTCTTCTGGCATCTTGTTTCTCAGTCAACTTTGATCTTGAAAAATTTAAACACAATGTTAATCATCATCTTCTGTCACCTTAATTCTTTTTCTTTTATTGATCTCTTGCCTTAATGTTTTTTCTCACATTCCCTAACACTCAGTAACCTCTTGTGTCTTATTGGCTTTATTGCCTTACTTGGGGTGAAATGACTTTTAAAACACCACTATGGATAGAAAATTGTCTGTATTAATGTAAATATATTACCAATTTGAAAGAAATCTCGAATATCTAAGTAAAAATTTTGATCTTAACTTGTATTTCTAAACAACCACAATGCTGCAATAACTTAGTTTTTAAGAGAATGATGTCAGTAAAAAATAAGCTAATCAGATACTTTTGTACTGAAAAGTTGTCTTTTCTTTTTTTACACATAGTTTTCAGTTGTTATAAAATTGCTAAGCATTTCTTTTTCTTTTGAAAAAACTTTGGGAACATAACTGAGATAAAATGCTTAATTTCTTTTCTTTAAGTCAATGATAATATAGAGGAAAAGTATAAGTCAAAATCATGTCAAATGTTTATCTTATCCATATAAGTCTTCACTTTAGAGAGGAGCTTTTTAAGCCTCAGGTTTCTTTTTTTTCTCTTGTGTTTATTGATATTTCTTTTAGAATTATCAGCTGAAAATAATAAAAAAATGTCTCAATAAAAGACAAAGGAAAGTCAGAAAAACAAGGAGGATAATATCAAAGTTCAATTTTATCTTTGACAAAATTAACAAAAAATTTTGTGTAGGAAATGAAACTTAACATTTACCATTTGTTATTTTTTTTTTTTCATTTTTCTATTTTTCTTTTTCTTCTTGATATTTTTCCATTAATTTTCATTCCTTTACATTTTTTTTTTTTTTTTTGACAATTTTTTGCTTAGAATTTTTCTTCACATTTGGTCATTTTCAATTTGCTCATTTTTTCATCTTTGTCTTTTTTTTTTTATTGATGTCCATCCAATACAAGGCCCAAGAGCCACTCATTGTAAATGGTTACCAGATGAGGTTCTTGCCTGAGCATAAGATGAGATGATAAGAAATACAGTTGATGAGGATATACAGAAAAGATAATGGTTAAAACTAGAATTAAAGAGCTCAAGATTCTACTTATTAGGGAAACATCATCTTGGGAAATCTGTTCCACAAAGAAGTGATTCATAGGAGGAATTTGTCTGAGGGGAATTTTTTGCTTTTAATCAGTTCAGCATCAGCAAGTTATTAATACCAATAGAATATCAGGGGTTAGTGTGACTGATAAGAAGACTTTAGTGAGGAGAAAGGACCATAAAATAACAGGATTCAGAAAGACAGAAGATAGGGATTAGCAATGTATTTAAATTTTTGATGATTGTAGCTGCCAGGGAAGCTATAAATTAGAAGGGAGTTCCACAGGCAAGAAGTGCAAGAAAAGAAACTATTAAAATAGAACATACAGTTATATCTTGCTATTTTAACAGTAAACTGGTGAGACATACTTGTTAATCTAGTAGCATGCTTAAATTAAAACTGAAACTATGTAAGAAAAACTGAGATGAAGAAAACTAATAGAAAATCATTATAAAAAATACTTGATCTAAGAATTCAAATAAGATGAATATAAAAGTATTTTTCTGATCAATTGACAGAATAATGACAGGGATCATTTCAGAATATTTCTGTTTGTTCCATTAATGATTTGACCAAATCAGTAACATGTTTGATCCATAATTGAATTATTCAATTGTACATTTATCTTCTTTTGGTAGTTTTGAAATGAAATAGATTTAAAGTCAGCTATCTCAGTCTGAAATTATGAGAGAAATGAAGTCAATTTTCTTTAAAAGCAAATTCTTTTTTCCATCTTGCTATTTTTTATTTCCTTTTTTCTCTTGTTTTCTTTTGCTTCTCCCTTTTTTTTTACACTTGTCACACTTTTCTTTTTCCTGTTTTTCTTTTTCTCTTTTCTTTTATATCTTTACTCTACCTTTCTTTTTCTTCTTTTCTCTGCCTTTCTTTTTCTTCTTTTCTCTGCCTTTCTTTTCCTCCTTTTCTCCGCCTTTATTTTCCTCCTTTTCTCCGTCTTTATTTTCACCTTTTCCTTGTCTTCCTTTTTCTGACCCTTTCTTTCCTTTGTTTTCCTCCCCTTTCCTTTTCTTTCCCTCCTTTTCCTCCCCCTTTTTTCCCTTCTTTTCCTTCCCCTTTCCACCCCTTTCTTTTCCTCTCCTTTCTTTCCCTTTCTTTTCCTCTCTTCCCCTTTCTTTTCCTCACCTTTCCTCTCCTTTCTCCCCCTTTCTTTCCATCCTTCTTTCTTTCCATCCTTCTTTCTTTCCATCCTTCTTTCTTTCCATCCTTCTTTCTTTCCCTCCTTCTTTCTTTCCCATCCTTCTTTCTTTCCCATCCTTTTCCTCTCCCTTTCTTTCCATCCTTTTCTCCTCCTCTTCCCATCATTTTGTGTATTTTATTATATCATTTAACACAACATAGATTGTTAAAATAAATATGAATGTGAATATTAATTTTCAACATTTTTTTAGATTTTTAAACGATGCTTACAGTATTTATTTATTTATCTACATACCTTTATAATTGTAATTGGCATTTATGTCTTCTCGCCAACCAAACCCCATATATAACATATCAGCAACAAAACCATTGTTATCCTGAAGAATTCCTTTTGAAGCCTGAAACATGTAATATAAGAAGTTTTTTCATTTCCTCATTTCAATTACCCATTATCAATCTGATATATAGATTTGTATATCATATCTTCTATACCTTCATATCTAAAAACCTTATATAAAAACAATACCTACGATGTTTTTATTTTTTTTACTTTCATCCTTTTCATGTAAATTATTTTTTATCTGTCTTTCAGCTTGATTTTTTTTAAATTTGTGTTTCATTGATTTTTTCTTAATTGAACATTTTTTAAATTGATTTTTAATTGATTTAATTGAATTTTTTAATCAGTCATGCTGCATGTGAACTGAACTGAGTTGAGCAAAGCTTTAAGATGAAATCTTTATAAATAACACAAATTAATGTTGACACAGAATTATTTCCTTGACCCATGACTGACTTAAAATATTTTTTTAATTATTTCACCCCAAGCAAGGCAATAAGAGCTACTATGATGCAAGGGGTTATTGAGTGTGAATGAAACAAGAAAATAAAAACAGTATTCTAGGAGACAGAAGATAACAATTGACATTGCATTTAAATTTTTAAAGATTGTAGTTGACAGGAAAGCAAGAAACTGAAAGAGTTCCACAAGCAAGAAGTGCAAGAAAAGAAACTATTAGAATAGAACTTATGTTTACATCTAACAATTTTCGTAATGAAATTATGAAACCTACCTGCCACTCTAATACTGTGTTTAAATTCATGAAGTCGAGGTGCCAATGAGGAAAATTCATTGGGAGCAATAGCTGGGATAAATGCTCAAGGAATCTATGTTATGAGGATTGGTAAGTAACTGAAGCCAAGATGTCATGTCACGACTGATGACATTGCAAGTTTTCTTGGGATTTTTTTCAAGAATCTTAAGATACATAGCAGAACCACCAAACCAGATGTGGCAGCAGTATTCAATGCATGTGTGAATGGCAGACTGGTAAAAGTGTAAGATGTGGAGTCAGTAGCCATGGTCAAATGCAAGATAAATAACAGAATGTCCAACAAACAGAATTAACAAAGTTTGTAATGAAAAGGAAAAGGGCAAAAATGAAATTATATCAAGCAAGCAAACAATATATGCAAGGCAAATTAACAGTAAGTAGACAAAAAGGTCACAAACTAAAAATTACCATCAGTACACTAAAGCAACTTTGGACAAGGGAATGCAGCATTCTGTCTTCTAGATAAGGCAGTTCGAGATTGTGTCAAACTGCGAACCAGCCTATTTTATTGGCTGAGAAAAAAAAAAAAAAAACATTCCAGCATGCATTTGCATGATTTTGCATATAAAAAGGGAGAGCAAGTGTTCTGCAGTTATTCCCCAGTGTTTGAAATCAACACAAGATAGATTCTACTGATATTCTATCCCAACATAGTAAACCAACTTTTTAGTAGCAGACTTAGAATTAATTAAATATAATCATTCCAATTCATGTCAGGGGAAAACGTGACACCAAGAAAGTGCAGCAAGTTACTCTCCTGGGAGGTTAGCATTAGCCATGCTGACTGAAAGCAAAAAAGGTTCTTCAAAATAGAGTGCAGTTTCATTTTCAAGGCATTAAAAGTAAAAAGTCACAACTTGTCCCCATTAATAACAGATTGAAGATCATTCTATTTCTTGCTCTATGATTAATTTTAAAATGGAAATTGAGGAAAAAAAATTAAAATCCAAATATTTAAGAAGTTTTAAGAGGAAAAAATAAACAAAGATATAATATTTAAATCACTAAAAAAATAAATACAGATAGCAATATTCAACTAGTTATATAAGGTTAATTTATTACTACTGCAATCTTTAAAATTTAAAGATTTTAATTATCATCATCACTCTCATGAAATTCTATTGACATAGTAACATGCTTAAAGTGTTCTCATAAATTTACACTTTGTAGATAATGCACAGGTATTTTTCATGTGCTAAATTTGATGAAAAAAGAAAGTAATTAATGAAATAGTCATAAGAAATTTCGTTAGAAACAAAGAAAAGAGTGCTGAACTGTTATGAATATGGCAATGAAGATGAGAAGAACAGTCCAATAATGTAAATAATGATATTAAAAAAAGCAGTATTAAACTTATATAACAAAATCATAGATGCAAAAAATATCCTTGGTTCTGATAAAGATTAGACACTAAAGCTTTGGAATATTGCCGACCTGATCTAATTTTCGGTAATTCATAATCAATTTTTTTCATGGCTCAGTGATAGAACAGAGGATGGAGAAAGAATAACTTTATATTTCAGATAAACACCAGATAACATTAAGGTCATTTCACACGAAAAAATTAGTACAGTTAATCATTTGAATGATGGTGGAATTCATCTAAAAAGAAAAATTGGATTGTTCATTAAAATTAATCAACTAAATTATTATTAATTAGCTTAATTAATCCATGCATTGAATATTACTGCCACATCTGGTCTGGTGCTTCTACTATATATTTAGAGTTTCTTGATAAAACAAAGAAGAATCTGCAATGTTATCATTCCTGACCTGACATATCAGCGTTAGTCACTCCTCCATTACTGTAACATAGCTTTCCTCTGCTTTTTCTAGAAATATTTTCATGGTAATTGTTCTGATGAGCTTTTTGGTATCTTGACTTGACAAATTTAAGCAATGTACAAGTTTGGCAGTTAGGTCTCACCATTTTGCTGTTGAAATTACTAAATGTAACCATAAGTTCTATGCTAACAGATTCTTCTTTTCTCACATTTCTCTTATAGAACTCTCATATGGCCTCTTGCTTTCCAGTCAACTTTGATCTTCAAAACGTTAAATGCAATGTCAATCATTATTTTCTGTCTTAATTTCTATTCTTTCTTTAATGTTTGTCTATTTCTCATTTTTGTTCACACTTCTTTCACTCCTTATATCTTTGTGGCTTTATCGTCTTAAATGGGAATTGATTAAAAAATAAAAAATAATTTCCTTTATTTCAAGAGACAATAAAATATTTATCTTTAGTAAGTATCTTCATTAAAGTATCATATTTACTTACTTTGACATTTCTAAAATATTTCACAAGTTACCTTGGTAACAGGACGTATGAAATATTTTAAGTCCTTTCCTCACTTGCTGGAAACCATGATGAAAAAATTTAAAACAGAAAAAATAATACAAACTTTTGATTGAAACTGATGGTTGCTGAACTATACAGTTACCATGTTTTCAGCTGTTCTGTTCTCCAGCCTTCATTAGGTGCTTATCATACACTTACATGACTGTCAGGACCCAAAGAGTGTGAGCTCAATTCCTGGTTAAAGTGGTGGGGAACTTGGAGAGGGAATTAACAAGAGATAACTGATAATGGACATCCATTAGACATGGCACGTGGAACTAGAACAGTCTACCCCAGCGAGCAAAATAAAGGGTTCAGTTCAACATTCCAACCACCTGAAGAAGGCCAGAGCATACAATGGCAGAAACATAATAAATATGGCAACAAAGATGAGGATGATAATCTGAGCAATGTAAGTAGTGTACTCTTACATTCATTTGAAAAACCTCATTCAGTAACCTGAATGGCTTTTAGAGCAATTGACCCTGGTTAAATGTAATTGTCAGGAATGCCCAACAAACAGAATTGGCAAAGTTTGCAATAAAGAACAACAAGAGAAAGAAAAGAACAGGGCAAAAATAATATTAAGCAAACAATATACATGGCGCGATGGGTAAATTGTCGTTATATTATTTTTTTAATTTTGCATATGCACATTGTTTGTTTTTGATTTTGTTAACTGCACAGTATAGTAGGGTCAGTTGGGCACCACCTGTGAGAAAAAGAGCACCATGACACAATTCCCTCTGCCAGAAATTTGCAAATGACATGCTGTACTGCTTGGCATTTGTCCCGGAAGCTGCAATATGAACATTTTAGTGTTTGGTTGTCAATCTGAGGACAGTGCAGAGGATTTGATAAGAGTTGGATGAATCTAATGCTGATTACAAAAGTGTTTGAATTGATCGCAAAGTTATGCCTCCATTCAACTTCCCACAGAGACTCAGATTCAACACAGAAGCCTACATCAAGTGCCTTGAGGAGGTAGTGCAGCCCTGGGTCAAGATAGTGGCTGCTGGAAGATCCTTTGTCTGGCAACAGGATTCTGCACCATGCCACACAAGCAGGAGAATACAGTCATGGCTGTCAGACAATTTCTGCAACCACATCACCCCTTATATCTGGCCATCTAACTCCACAGACTGCAACCCCCTTGATTATTATGTGAGGGGCACAGTTGAGTGAGAAACCAACAAAACTCATTGTAACACCAAAGATCAACTGATTATGGAAGCATTCACCAACTTAAACAAGGAGGCCATCCAGAAGAGTTGAAGGAGATTCTGAAGTCGTCTTGAGACTGTAGATGAAGTCAATTGTGATTTTATTGAATAAATTTACTCTTTACTATTTCAAGATATTTTTGTATAGTTTTGTTGAATATATCTGTCAAAATGAGATGTCAGTGTTATTTTCATTTTGGCATTATTTAGACAACAATTTATCCATCACACCCTATATGCAAGACAAAGCAACAGTAATAAGATAAAAAGTTGACAAAGTAAGAATGATGGTAATGCACAGAAGGGATACAGACAAGTGATTACATCATTATGAGAAAAGAACTAAGTCAAATGAGACTGAGAAGTGGCTTATTTTATTGAGTAGGAAGAAATCCCAGCTTGCATCTGTTTTATCTATATATTTGGAGAGGGGAATGTTTTTGCAATCATAATTGCAAATTCATTCCCTGGGTCAGGTAGTGTAAACTTAGACTCAGTGAGAGCAAGGTGAGAGCATTATTA